TGATGGGTGATGGGTGATGGGTGGGTTGATGCAGTTACCTCCCAGCCCACGGAGAATCTTGGCTCTTCCACGAAAAAGTGAACCCGCGTGACTGCTGCCTCTCTGAGCACTTACAGGACCCTGCTCATCACCAGCTTTTTCCTTGATCCAGCCCAACCTGATGCTGCACCGCAGCTTATGGGGGCGGGTCTCTCTGCTTTCCTGCGTTGTCTCGCTTTGTCGCTCCACTGCTAGCTCCTTTCCTTGCCTAGGATTCCAAACTCCGAACCCAATCAGTGCTAAAGCCACTGTAAGTTATTTTAAAGTTAAGTAATTCTGGACCCAAAAGCTATTCTGAGCTACCCCCTTCTCTTTCCTTCTCTAGTCATTTGTCTTTAGGTGGAGTATAATTTTCCTCTTCTTGCTTTTATTTTTTTTGCATGGCCTTTTGCTTTCGTCTTTCCCCCAAATGAATTCTTTGCTCCTCTGTTTTTCTCACCTTTCCTTTACATTCATATTCACCCATTCTCTTCGTTTTGCCTCTCCTGCCTTCCTTTTGGGAACCAAAATGATTGGCTAAAGGTCATGGCCACTTCCTACATTTATTTAGGAGCTACTCCCTCTGTGGATAAATGCCCAGCAAGAAATTTGCAATGTGCTTCAAAAGCAAGGATTGAGGTTCCCCTGGCATTGATTTTTCACCCTGGTTGCTGAGCAGGGGAAGTACAAACTCCGAGTTCTTGGCAGACAGAAGCTATTTGGAATGTGGTCAGTATTATTAGAAAGCACTTTTGAGGGAGAGTTGGGGGTTGAGACTTCAGTCTCGCTGGTAGTGTTTCTAAGACACACCGCTGTTGCAGTTCATAATTCGGCTTTTGTTTCCTTTGGGGGGCGTTTGATGTATTTCTTCCCTGGGGCTGGGCTTGATGAAAGAAAGCCCTTTCAACCTGGGGCTCCCGATGATCTGCCCATTCACCGCTTGTTTGACATTTACGCTTTTCATCCCTTCTCTGTAGGCTCCGAGGGGAAGCGAGCCCCATTTAAACAACTCCGCATGCACTGTGAGCTTGAACCCCGGTTCCCTGCACTTCATGTCCCAAAGCTGTCATTACTGACCCCCTTTAGTTTGTTTCTTGTCCTGTTACTTAGTGAAGCAAGGCAAGGCTCTCAGGAAAATGTTAAGTGGGCACATTGAAGCCCAGTATGACCAAAGTACAGCTGACGTGAAACCTCTTTTATAGGAACCACCTGTGCCTTCAACAGATAACCTGGCATGAAAGTCAAATGATCAGGATTCTTTTTCTCAGCATTCTCTGCTTGGGACACCCAGATCATCTTTTTTTGTTTGTTTCTTCTGGCATAGAAATAACAATTTTAGGTAGCAAGATTTCTGCAGTCAGACTGACTCCTATTTGTGATTTTGAAATTGCATAATGTTTTGCAGAGATCTCTAAATGAAGCTTCCTAGAGTTTAGCTATGGCAAGTAGTGGGTATTTGAATATTATGTTGACTCTTGTATCTGAGCAGAGGTAGATTATTAGAAGGACATAAGAAGAGCAGATGCCTGGCCGACATGGTGCAGTGGTTGAGCATGGACCTCGGAATCAGGAGGCCACGGTTCCATTCCTGGTCAGGGCATATGCGTGCTCGATTCCTAGTGTGGGGTGTGCAGGAGGCAGCGATCAGTGATTCTCTCTATCATTGTTTCTGTCTCTTCCTCTCTGAAATCAATAAAAGTATATTAAAAAGAGCTGATATTCAGTAATTAGATGTTTGCCATGCCCTTTGGATAGGTCATAAAAAGTTATCTCTGGCAGTACCTCTTACGATGGGCACGGACCCCAATTTAAATTCTTTAAGGGAGAGGTAAATTTTCTCTTGAGCCCTTAGGACCTCAATTGCCTTCAGCTCAAATAATCCGCGTGCCGAAGTGGCTCACCTTGGGGAGGCTGTTCTGAACCCCTTCAACACAATTTGCCGCCCCCCCCCAAAAAAATTAAAAAAATTGTATTTTACAGGGTAATCTTATTGTCTATGTCCTTTACAATGACATATTGTTTAAGAATTTTGTACTTGTAATCAAAGTTTTCAGGTGTGGTTGGGTACACCCGGATGGAAGGAATTTGAGTACAGTTTTGCTTTATTTGATTGTTATCTGGGACATTGTGTATCTCATGCATAACACACACAATAAATTGTCAAGAAAGGGCAAATTACAAGAACTTAGTCCTGTTATCACTATTAGCACATACATAACCCAGAAAACAAGCAGTTTAATTTAGCCTTTTCTCCACGGTGTTCGCATTTATTTTTATTGCTCCTTTTAAACATGATTTAGTGCCTATGTAGGGAACGTTAGGAAGTCCCTAAATGTGGATATTCACAATATTCAAAACCTTTACTGAGAATTGACATATTTCTATATGCAACACTGTGTTTGTTGAATTAATTTTAGATTTACATCAGTTTCTTCTGTCAGTCTCTGTTCCAGGGCTCCCTCTACTGGAACACAATTTGTAGCTGCATGTTGCATCTTGTAATTAGTATGGTATGGCCTGTTGAGTAATTCTTTTAGATTTTTCACATTTTCTTCCCCAAATGGCACTTTGAATTCTTATTCTTTAATGCAAAGCGAATGTAAACTTCTTGTTTTATCAAAAACATCATGCAATTATGCATTAATGTAAAAAAAGAGTTTCATTTAAGATAAGCATAGTTAGCCAGAATCAGCCAGATTTTTAAATAATCAACTAATGCTTTCTTTTTGCAATCAACTTTTTTTGTGTGTTTTTTTTAAATCCCCCTTCCCTCAATTTCTTGCTTTCACTTTCAACTTCTTTTAAAGCAGGATTGCTGTATTGGATTTATGCTCACTACTGGTATGAAACTGGCGTGTAAAGTAAAACTTCGCTTAATTTCCTTGATTTTCTTGTTTCATACACATTAACAATTTACATGAACTACTCTCTCCCCCCTCTTATTTCTGGTGGCTTGACAATCTTAATGAGGATTATGACCTAATTGTGTTTGGTAGTATTGCAACACCCTCCTGGAGTGAGCTGTCAGTGAGATGACGGAAGTCTGTTCACGTGAATTCTATGAAGTTATTCATATGACTTCTGTATAAAACACTTCTTTTTCATCCACTCACCTTTCCCTCTTCTGTATTTTAAGCCCTAAGTAAGAATACAGTCTAAGTTAAACGACTTCACACTGATGTCCTTGGCTTTAACACTTCTAATGATGTAGAACCTGCTGGTAGACTTCAAATAGCAAGCAGTCTTGCTATTTTACAAAAAAGCACATGAGATATTTTCCTTTTCTTTTTCTCATCCAACTTGGATTGCTTTATACATCTGTCCTAGCTACAACTCTTCATTCCTTTTCATTTAGTTGCTTATTATTTATTTTTCGTTGTTGACTGTGTTACAGATGTTCCCCATTTCCCACCCTTTTGCCCTCCCTCACCCAAGCCTTGCCCCATTCAACGCCTTCCCCACACTGTTGTGTCCATGGGTTATGTATGTATGCATATATATTCTTTGGCTAATCTCTTCCTGTCCCCTCCATCCCACTGAGATCTGTGATTATGTTCCACGTTTCCATGCCTCTGGGCCTATATTGTTTGTCAGTTTATTTTGTTCATTAGATTCCAAATATAAGTGAGATCATGTGATATTTGTCTTTTTTCTAACTGGCTTTTTTTTGCTTAACATAATAGTCTCCAGCTCCATCCATGCTGTCGCAAAGGGTAAGAAGTCCTTTTTTACAGCCACATGGTATTCCACTGTGTTAATGTACCACAGCTTTTTAATCCATTCATCTACTGATGGGCACTTGATCTATTTCCAGATCTTAGCTATTGTAAATAACGCTGCTGTGAACATAGAGGTGCATATATTCTTTCTGATTGGTGTTTCTGGATTCTTAGGATATATTCCCAGAAGTGGGATTCTTTTCATTTCTTTACCACCCCCCCTTTTGTTTTTCTTGGACCTTCAGAATCAATAGTAGCAACACTTCTAAAAAGAAAATTTCCACTGTGATGAGGAAAACCTGTACTCACCAGAAAACCTCAAACCCACTTTCCACATTTTAAATGTAATTTCCTTGAATGTAGAGAGACAAAGAAATAGCCAACTTTTGTAGATATTCTAAACTGGGAGTACTGCATGCTTTATACTTGGCATTTTATTAAATACTAGAGGCCCGGTGCACAAAAATTTGTGCATTCGGGAGGGAGGGGGGTCCCTCAGCCTGGCCTGTGCCCTCTCGCAGTCTGGGACCCCTCGGGAGATAACGACCTGCTGGCTTAGGCCTGCTCCCGGGTGGCAGAGGGCAGGCCCAATCCCTAGGTGCAGCTCCTAGTCAGGCTCAGAGCAGGGCAATTGGGAGGTTGTGATGCCACCCTCAGTCACGATCAGGGTAGGGCTGATTGGGGGGTTGGGGCACCGCCCCTGTCACACTCAAGGCAGGGTTGATGGGGCGGTTGTGGCACCACCCCCTGTCACGCACAGAGCAGGGCCAGTCGGGGTTGGGGCACTGCCCCCTGTTACTCACAGAGCAGGGCCCGTGGGGGGTGGGGGGGTTGGGTCCCTGCACCCTGTCACACACAGAGCCGCAGGGCGATCAGGGGGTTTGGGCGCTGCCCCCTGCCACGCTGATCCCGGTGCCGGGAGGCCTCGCGGCTCCGCTGATCCCAGTGCTGGGAGGCATATTACCCTTTTACTATATAGGATAGAGGCCTGGTGCATGGGTGGGTGCTGGCTGGGTTGC